CCATCTTAGCTGTAGAGGGTGCAGCGTCACTGGCCCTTATGAAAAGTATAGTTGCCTGGTCACTTTTTTTTTTTTTTTAGCTGCCTGGTCACTCTTAAAACCTCAGATCTACGGGGTTCCCATATATACAAAGTTAAATTTGATTGTTTTTCTTCTGTTGGTCTGTCTTATGTCAGTTTAATTATTAGACCAGCCAAAAAGAACCTAGAAGGTAGAGGAAAATTTTTTCTCCCCAACATCCTTAATGCAATTTGTCTCCAACTATTGTATTGGGTTGTCAGAAAAGTCATGATGTATTTTTTCTGTTTTTCATTGCAAAAATGCATCATGACTTTTCCGACAACCCAATAGCTATGTGGCTTTCGGTAAGTTATTTAACCTTTTTGAATTTCAATTTGGTCCTCTGTAAATTGGGACAGTAATACCTACTTCAGTAGATAGGTAAGAGGATTCAGTGAGAATAGTGTACTTTAAGTGTTTTACATAATGCCTAGCATCTGGCAGACACTTAATAAATCTTTACCTCTCTTGTCATTTATGACCATTGTGATTCTCCCTTTGAAAAGAGCTGAATGTAATTTGGGGGAGGTGATTTCTGTAGTTAAGTGTCTCTTCCTAAGGTATCAGGTAGAGGGCATTCCAAAAGAGGAATGTTTGCGATACTTTGTGAGCTTCTGGCACAGTTATTAACTTGTAGTTGCTGTCACTCATCAGAAAGATACGATGCCTTCCTCTATATGATATGTCTGTCTGGCATTGGTGTTTTGGGGCAGCCCATCCTAGGGCTGTGGAGAGTGGGGTCGATGAGAATTGTCTATTTAGGCCTGGACGGTCTCAACCACCAAACTTGTGTTACTCTGCAATAAACTGTTACATACTGTTTAGTGGGGATGGGCAGCCATAGCTCACCTAATGGGCAATCCAGTTTACACAGTATTGAGTTCCTGTAACACAGGTCCTTCTTTGGAAATCTCTAAGACTAAGGGTTAAGTCTTTGGTGAGGAATAATTTGTGTTAGCCTCTTCTCCCCTGCTTCCTTTTTAAAACTATTATTTAAAAATTGGAAGGGCCGGCTGAGTGGCATGTTGTTTAGGAGCTGGCTTGAGACGCCAGAGGACCCTGGTTCGATCCCACATATGAGGGCCAGTGACACTGCCCTCCACAGCTAAGATGTTGAACAACAGCTCAACGTGGAGCTGGGCTGCCGTGAGTCGCTGGCGACGGCGTAGGCTGCAGCCCCTGCTGCAGTGGGTTGCCATGGGCTACCGTGTGTAGCCAGCAGCCAGCGTGAGCGGCCGTCCAGAAGCCGGCGACTGATCTGCTTTGCCTGGGAAGAGCGCAATGATGGTGCCAACTTGGGCCGGTGAAGCAATGTCCTTCACAACTAGACTGAAGAACAAAATGACAGCAACTTGTCTGTTCCCTTTCCCCCAATTCCCCAATAAAAATCTTAAAAAAAAAAAAAAATTTGGGAACACAATCAAAGGGTTAAATTAAAAAGAGAAAAGTACATCCTGCTCCTCTTATCTTTACAATGACTACATGTATTGTACTTAATACCAGACTCTTAAAGGCATATGACTAATTAACAATACTATGTTTATACAACCAACCCTTTATCTTTTGTAGTTATCCTAACTCTCCCCTCTATGTACTGCTACTTCTGTGACTGTCCTTGGAATAGTTTGGCTGGTCATGTGCCCAGATGGCACCAAGTGGACAAGTGGATCAAGGGCAGCTTTCTAAAAACGTGTACGTGTGGAGAGTGGTGAGCCAGTGGGAGCTCTGTGTGCTGGCACCAAGATCCTGAGTGCCAGTTCTCTGCTGTCCTTGAACCCGACCCTGACACGAGGCGATTTTCTTTTTTGGCCTGCCGTTAAACCCTGTGCATAGTTGTATACCATAATAGCTATGAATAAGCCTGGCTATTAATTGTTTATACCCTTTTTTTTTGTTTGTTTCAGTTCAGATTTTGCATACACAGAGGGGTATCTGGGCTCCCTCTAAAGTCCAGATCCAATCACACTCCATGTTCAGTAGATATTTGGAAGGCGGTAACCCTGAACGGGGACACAGGAATAGTTTTAGTTAACAGTTATGCTTGTTTGTTTTGGAAAGATACTGGAGAGGAACTAGAAACAGGAGAGAAGGGAAGGGGAGAGAGAGGTGTGTGAGAGGTGAGATATAAAGAAGAAAGACGAGAGTACATACAGCGGGCCTGCTGAAGTGGTTTGTGCTGAGAAAAGCTACTGGGAATCTTTAGGTGTTGAGAGAGTAGTAGAAAGGTAATAACAAGGTATTAAACACTTGTACATACTCGAATAAGTAAGTTGCTGAGGACCAAGAGAAAAGGGGGACCAAGTATGTGAAAAGAACCTGGAGCAGCCAGTGGGTGGAGAAAGTTATAAACCAGAGTCTAGAGAAGTGTTGGTAGCTGTAGAGTCATCAAGTCTGAGCATACCATTTCTATGTGAGCTTCCCTCCCTCTAACATTTAACTCCACCTGGCACCTTTATTTGTTTAATCTTATCTTAATGGAATGGTAGAAAGAACACTAAACAAGGAGACCAGGATCTAGTCCCAGCTTAGTCGCTAGCTAGCTGGTGTTTTGGGGGAGGGGGTGTTTTCTAATCCGAAAAGCTGGAAAAAGATGGAAATTGGATTAAATGACCTCTAAGGTCCTTTCTAGCTCTAAAAGTCTATAATCAGCTATGTTGAAGCCTCACAGACTTAGAACTCTCATCACATCAGATCAGAGGGTAGAAGACAAACTGTGTGTAGTGACGTATAAGACACTGAACAGTTGATAGAATGAGTGCAAAGTCAGGGAGAAGACGAAGGAGAAAAGCATTATTTCATGGGATATTTGGGGCATTCTCTATTGGAGAAGAATTGTGGTCCCTGATGTCAGAGGCTTGTGGGAGCCTATTTTAAGGTTGCTTTGTTCATTTTAGCTGCCTATTAAATTCCCTCTAGAGATGGCTACTTCCAGATGAGAAAACCCTGGCTTTTTTTTTTTTTTTGAGGGGAGGGGGCCCTGACCTAAATTATCAGGTGCAGAATGCAGATTCCCCCCTGGGCACTGCCTCTCAGAGTATTGCCGTGCCAGACTGTCCTCAATACTGTTTGGCTCTGCTGATGTCTCTGGCAGTTGGGACACAGGTCGCCTCTTGGCTTGTGCCAGAATTGTTCTCTTGCTTCCCTCATATTTATCACTTTGTCATTCCTGACTCTGAATCTCAATGATCAAGACTACTGTAGTCCAGCGGAGGAGCAATAAATCATTGTTCCCACTTTTCTTTTCTCCAGGTTTCGTGCCCCTTAATTACCACATAACCTGTGCTGAGGTTGCATCTTTGTGCTGTGTGTGCCAGGGACAAAAGCCCTTGTTGATTGGATGTGTGCAAAAGCTGCTTTGTCTTTCTCCAGCCGTTCTGTTTTGCAGAGTGCCACGTGTGCTACCTGTCCTTTGCTCCCGTCTCCTGTGAATTTATAGATTCTGATTGTCAGGTGATTTATCCATGAACAGGGCTTGTCTAAGCCCTGACAGTAGGGAGTGGAATGGGCAACCCTTAAATAACTCAGCAAGGTGATCTTCATTAATGAGAGAGGTTTGGGCTGGGTTAGTCATTTTTATATGAGTTTTAGCTAGTCCCCTTCATTCTCTGAGCTCCTGGAGGAGCTAAGCAGGTTATGTGATCCAGAATGGGCTCCCATGGAGCTTTTCTTTGGTACTGTCCAACAGATCACTTGTTAACAGACAACATCAAAAGGGCCAGCTGCCTTTCTATCGTGCAACCTCAGAGAACTTGAGTCGGGGCAGGGGTGAAGAGTTCATAAATGAGCATGCCCACCTCCTTCATCCCTAGCACGCCTTTTTGCCATTTGAGGGGAAGATTCAGGCTTCAGAAACAGAATGTAGACAGGCTCTTGTACTTTTCCTTGCTGCTTTACTGTACCTGTGCCTTTAGAGGATTGGGAGTGAGGGGTGTCGTGTGGTAGGCAGCAAGTGTTCGGAGAATCTTACTCCTACTCATCGTTCCCTGCTGTTCCAAATCAAAGCCCACGGCTCTTCTCTAAGAGTAGTAAATTTCACACAAAGCTCAGACAGCGTGAGAGAATGGACTTCTTTGCTGGCAAAGAAGCAGGTATAGTCTTAGAAAAGGAGAGGTCAAGCCAGTTTTTGTGTCTGTGAAAGTGAGGTGGGTTGAGGGGGAGAAGACAAAAGGACCACCGATTGCTGGCAGCTGCTGAACCCCTTCTTTATAGCTTCCCATCAAGTAGGGGAGCTAGGTACAGGGGCAATAGTCATGATGAGCACAGAAACAGGATTCATTTCACAGTCCTAGGTGAAAAAGTACAAGGCAACTGAAAATTTCTTTTATGCTTGCTATTTATTTGCAGAGCAAACTGTACTTTATTTGAATAGTTAGAACAGTTAAGGGCCTTTTTTCTCTTCATGAGCTCGCTTCCCATCCAGAGCTGAAGCCCAGCTGTAGGTTTTACAGTATAGCTGGCATATCTAGTGAGCAGTTAGATTTGAAAGATACCCTCTTACCAATGATGTTTGAAACAGGTACATAGCTAAAACTTGGTGACATGAGATACTAGCAGCCTAGAGTGAAAGGGGGACCCTCATTTTGAACTGTAATTGAGCAAATTTGATGAGGAAGTCACCATGCAGGAGTAAATTTGGAACACTAAGATGTCTGTTTTATGGTCATATTTCTGCACTTAATTGCTATTTAAGAAGTGGCAAAAAGAAGTAGATTTTAAAAAACCTTCTGTGGGTAGATAAACAGACATATGCTTGGGAAGGTCAGTGCTTTCTTCAAATATACCCACCTAACCTACTTGTAAAAAGTGCTTAGTAGCTGTGACTTACTCATTCTAGCCTTATTTGGATTCCTGTAGAGCCAGTCTATTTTCATTGCTTTCATTTAACTTTATTGATTATGCTTTGTATAGCGTGTTGATGTCTTTGTTTTTGTTTTTTTAAGCTTTGATAAATTTGCTGAAGTTCCTTATGTCAAACGAGACGGTACTTTTGGCCAAACACAACATTTTTATGTTAGCTCTTATGGTGAGTAACCAAAAAACGATTTCTTTTTCTGAAGCTATACCCTAAGGTGGAGATGGGCTGGTGTGAAACAGGAGCTGTGTTCTGGGGACTAAGCCATGGTGGGAGCCGGGCTATTTGGGTCAGAATCTCTAGACTGGTGCTCCCCATTCTCACCTGTATTTTTGATGAACCTGGGACTCTTTCTCTTTCATGAGAGTGTATCGTCTGGCTGGGGCAGGTATAGGTCAGATCTCTGTGTATGAGTAGCGAGCCTTGGTCCCATTGTGAGTGACTGTACTACACTATTATAGTACCTGTGTTGGTACATTGCAAAGCCTCTAGAGATGTCCCAGCCAGATAAGTGGTTCTGTCATGGCTGCACTTGGTTTTTGAGGGACATTATAGATACCTGCTTATCTGACTGGTTATTTGTAGTAGAAGGAGGGTATTGTGCCTCTTGAATATCTCCTCAGGATATTACCCAGTATGTTCATAAATGCTTTACATTTTTTTGGGAAAAAGTCCTGATTTGTAACTTTTGCTAATTTCCATGGTAAAACTATACCCACCATGGCCAGTTCCAAGCTATCTACATGACATCATTGAATGTAGAGTTGGGAAAAGATGAGTAGTGACACACCATTATATGATATTCCCACCACACAGATGTAAGGGGTATAACTCTCAAGAGCATAGATAATATTAAAAGGTAGAAAGTAATTAGGAAGTGATGAGTTTTGAGTATTTATTACCTTCATTTTAATATAATTTATTGAATTGTAAGTTTGTATAAGATAATTTTTAATAATGGCTTTGTTTAACAACTGGCTCACAAAATGCCTGAGAATTTAAGTCAGGTCTTAAAAGCCAGTAAGTGCTGGCTATAGCATACCACTGATAATACCTATACCTGTATATGGACTTTTGCTTCTTTTTTAGATTGTGAACCTATTTAATATGTTTATCACATATGGTGACACATTCCTGCCCACCCCCAGCAGCTATGATGAACTCTACTACGAGATTATCCGCATGCACCAGAGCTTCGACAACCTCTATTCTATGGGTAAGCTGTCTTTTCTTTTTACTCCTCTTGCCCTATCCACTGTGATTTTTGGCATATAAGAGGAAAAGACTACAAAAAGACTCTCCTCTAGTTGCTTGGTTCTCTTGCTTGGCACAGAAATATAGTAGTCTCTTCTCAGGCATTAGGAAGGACCATGTGGACATTTTTGCCTTCAGGAACTCAGAAATCATCTCAGTGGAAAGCTGGTTAACAGCCCTGTAACCCTTTCTTAATGAGAGAGAGAGAGGAAGAGAGAGAGAGAGAGAGAGAGAGAGAGAG